GCATCACCTACAGCGTCCCGCGGCCCCGGCGCCTGGGGGTGGGCGTCTACCCCGTGAAGATGGTCGTCAGGTAAGACCCAGGCGGATTGTGCCGTTCGGTGCCCTTCCAGCCGGGCCGGCCGGGTGATGGAGCCCTGGGGGTGCTTTATGGGGGGCGGGGGGGAGAGAGAGGAAGACGGACCAGCTGGCCAGCTGTGGCTTCAGGAGATACCGGCCCGCTGCTCCCTGAGCCGGGGCCCCGGCCGACCCCTGGCCTCAGGCTACGGGCTGAGTGCGACGCGGGCCGACCACAGGCAGGTGCCTTTTAGGGGCGACCAGACCTTTGCGATGAGCTACCTCACGGTGCTGCCCCGGGGCATGGAGTGCGTGGTGTTCAGCATCGACGGGTCCTTCGCGGCCAGTGTGTCTATCATGGGAAGTGACCCCAAGGTCCGGCCGGGGGCCGTGGACGTTGTCCGGTGAGTGTTCCCTCCCGTCCCTTCCCAGAGGCCCCGGGAGAGCCGGGCCGTGTATTTTTCCGGAATTCCACTAATCTCCGGGGCAGGAACTGGGGAGTCCCGGTCACGTGTACCGAGGGTCCCCAAGAAACGCCCTGCCACCGTCTGGACGCTAGCTCCCCCTCCCTCCCGCCTCCGTTTAATCTCTGCAGCCAGCCAAGCCTGGGCTCCCGAGTTCTGACTCCAGGCGGGGTCCAATCGGTGTGTTCTGGTGGCCTCTGGGAGAAATGGCTCCGAATGTAGCAGCCGAAAAGAATACTATTCCATCTCTCGCGGTTCCGTGGGTGGGCTGGGCTCTGCTCGCATGTCGTCACATGGGGTGTTCCCGTGACTCACGGCCGGGTGGCCATCTGGGCTGGGGGCGGGGCTCATCCGCAGGCTCCCCTCGGGCCCGGGGTTCGAGATGGCCTCTGTACTCGCGGTGGCTGGGCCCTCTCTCTGTCCGCGGGGCCAGCCTGGGCCGTCTCGTGGAGACCCGGGTGGAGGCCGCAGGCTTTCTCAGAACCCAGCCTGGGGCGTCACAGTGACCTTTCCGCTGTGTTCCGCCGGTCGTGAGTAGTGGCAGGATCCGCCCGGATTCACGGGGAAGGGACCACCTAAACGTGTGAATACGGGACACGTGGCTCCCAGGGGCCACCCTCTGAGCCTGACTCAGGCGCAGTGATAAGGGGAAGATTGGGGCTCGTACAGCTGACTGGGGAGAGCAGGGCAGGCTTCCTGAGAGAGGTGGCGTCAGAGAGAGTCCCCGAGGGGTGGACGGGTTCAGTCCAAGCCGCTGCACAAAGATTAGCAAACGTGGGGAAGCGAGAGGAAAATAGAAAACGGATTTTGATAGGCCAGGAAGGAGGCCGCGGGGCGACAAGGACAGGAAGAGCAGAGCACGTGGTGGGACGGGGTCAGGGTGGCTGGGTTTTGGAGGCCAGACCAGGACGGGGCCGGAGGTGGGGCTGGAAGCAGCCGTGTAGAAGGGTGTCACCATAGGAGAGTGAGGGAGGAGCCACTTTCTCCCCTCCCCGC